TCTACTTCATTCAATTATACGTTGCTTCTCACGGTGACAACAAGAAATATTTTGAGATTATGGTAGCTGTTGTTTCAAAAAGTTAATTTTCAGAAGGTCAGGCATTACTTTTCACTTTTTGTTAAGACATGGTCTATGTTACCCAGGTTGATCTGAACTCCATGGGCTCCAGTGCTCTGCCTGCTTTGCCTTCCATGTAGCCAGGATTACAGGTGTGTGCCATGCCTAGCTCACTTTCAACTTCTTGATGGCTTATTATGAATTTATCATCTATCAATTTATCTGTACTACGAATCCATTCATCTATTTAAGTTTAGAGTCCTAAAATCAACTCTCCAAAATTTCAAATACTGTTTAACCTAATATTAGTATTCTAAATTTTTACTTTATCATTAAACAACAAAGATCAACTATTAAGAGGCCAGGAACTGTTTCACATACTGAATATACAATAGTGGACAAAGTATAAGGTTTGACATCTAGGTTCATCTTGCATATAAAATTAGTAGTTTTATTTAGTTTATATTCTTAGGTGTTATCTTTTTAGTTTGAAAGGTCTTAACTTTCTAAGGTGACAGACACACTCTTCTGTTTAAGCTACAAAACACAATCTACTAAGCTACCTCTTTGATCATTTTAGTTTGGTTTTTAGAGAAAACAGCCATTATTTTATCTAAAAGCACTATCAGCATACAGACAATGAGTCAGAGGAGAAGCTGTTTTTGGAAACACAATATTAAATATACTCTTAATGATTTCTTTTTAAAAAAAATATTTATTTTTTAGTTTTAGGTGGACACAATATCTTTATTTTATTTTTACATGGTGCTGAGAATCAAACCCAGTGCCTCACATATGCTAGGCGGACGCACTACCACTCCACATCCCCAGCCCACTCTTAGTGATTTCTAATCTGTTACTTAACCTTTTTGCCTCAGCTCCAGAAAACTAAAATCTAGGTCACAGTTACTTCAAAAATTCTTAAGCCACATAAAATGTTCTGATAATTGGAAAATTTATATCAACTTTATCTTTTTCTTTATTTCTGACCTCCTAAATTTCCTGATAGCTATTATCTTCTCTTCTAGCCACCTTTTGCTCCCAATGTCAGTCTGAAAGAATTCAGGTACCTGCCTATAAATACAGAAAAGTTTAAATGCATTCCACCAGTATAAAATTTCAATAAAAAAATTGAGGCTAATATTTCATGCTTAAATATCTTAAATGAATTAACAAAAATAACTATTTAGATATTAGATAAAATTTCCTATAGGAAAATATGGGTAAAAGAGCAAGTAAAATTCCATCGTACAACTATTTAGTAGCTGGCATTTAATTATTACAGCTGTTATTAAATGACTAATTTCTATCTTTTCACAAATTATCTTAATGATTACATAAACATTTTAAGATTCTGGCTAATCAGAAAGGAAATGATATAGAAATATACTATGTATTGAGAATTTACCATAAATTAGGCACTATATGGTTTTTTACACAGCTTATATAAATTAATCATCCCAACATTACTAGAATGTAGAGATAATGAAATCATGTTAGAGACAGAGGAAACTGAAATTCAGAAAGGTGACTTAAGTTGCCCAAAGTCACACTTTTGGTTAAATGTTTTAGCCAGGTCTATCTGAACTCAAAGCCCATATGATTAACTATTATAAATACTTCTACCCACAGGATGGATGGGAGTGTGTGTGTGTGTGTGTGTGTGTGTGTGTGTGTGTGTGTATGTATATTCTCAGTTTAAATACATTTGGTAAAATGAAACTCAAGGATATTGGAGTACACTGAACTTCGGGAAAAACACACTTAGGTGATTAAAATTTGATATTACTTTATACACTAGATCTATTAAAAACTGACTGCAGTGAAAGAGGACCACATCTGATAAATGGCTTATTGGTTAAGAGTTGTTTATACAGTATATGGTAATTCCTTTAATAAAATTGTGAGGTAAACAGTGCAATGGCCCCTTGTTTCATATGGACAACCAAGGACTCAGAGAGATTAAATGATTTGTCCTGGAACATACAATCAGCAGAAATATCTTTGTGTGTGATACTGGTATGGAGTCAACTTAGAATGCAAGTCTGGTCTTCTCACTTTCTAGCCAATGGTCCTACAACTACAACACAGGAACCAAAACATTCCTACTGCTTTATTCAGTATAAGTCAGAAGGGAACAGCTGTTTGTAACACCTTAGCCAAAACTAGCCCTGGCATGATGTTCCCAAGTATTGTCAGATCTACATAGGCCCAAAGACTCAAAATGGTCTCATTACCCTTTCTCATTTCCAGAATTCCTTTCCTCCCCATCATTACCCATTCAGAAGCCCTGTAAGGCTATTAAAAGCCCTACATAGAGCTGCCTTCTTTCTACTAGAATAATAGTAAAATAAATTTATCTTCCTTTTGTATTGTATCTTCATACTCCTACCCTCAAATTAAAAAAAAAAAGTTAACAGATTAATGAAAGCAAACTAAAAAGTGAATTTATTTAACATTAAAAAACCTATTATGGAAATTTTATAAGGAACAATATGTGTAATCCAATGGCAATCACTGCTAGCATTTTAGAACTTATTCATAATTGATTAAAAGCAGCACTGTCTTACTATACTCTTAAAAAAAGTCACAAAAATAATTCAACTGGATATCAATTGAATATTATGATAGAATTTTATGCAATGTGAGAAGATGAAGTGACAAATTAGATACAACATGAACTGGCTCTATCTCATCTTCCTTAATAAATCTTTTTGTTTTTATGGAGTGGAGAGAGTGCTATTATAGAATCCCCTAAGACAATCATGAATTGCTATTTTTATTCTACTCTGATTAGTGTTTGGTCACCCTCTCCTAGAATTGAAATCCTAGAATAATTCTGGCAAATCACTTGAATGATGGCCAATCTTTTGCAGTTAAACACAAACACAATTTGAAACTAATTATTTTATGTTTCAATCTATTCTCTCACCTAAAACATCTGGTAAGTTAAAAAAAGAGTAAAATTACATCTTTCTCACAAATATAATGAAGTCTGATAAAACCCCTTGTTTTGGTGTTTGGAAAGGTAGACTAGGCACTCATTCCTATAATAAATCTTCAATAGAAGAGAATCTCTATGCATAGGATAAGTCATATTTTAATATATACATATATATTACAGACTCAGATCATTCTAGGAACTCAAAGTTTTTTTTTAGATGCTAGTGGAGTACACTGAAAAGAACAAAAAGTTTTTGAGCCAGCAGAACTAGGATCAAGTCTTATTTCTGCTATTTTTCTTATGAATTTCTTTTGTGCCTCAATTAATTTATGAAGGGGCATGCTTCTCTCTGCTTTACATGGCTCATATAAGAATTAACATGATTTATACACATGATAAATCGGAAGAAAATATATAATTATAGTAGATCTAAAGGTCTACACTTACATATTTTCTCTTTTCTCATCAGAGTGAGGCTGATGGAACAAAACGTACCAAAATTGGTAAGTTTCCTGGGCCAGAGCAAGTGGCCCCAAGGGCCAGAGCAAGTGGCCCCACGGTCCAGACCCCAGGTCCAGTTTGTACTGGGAAAAAAAGAGCCTGACTGGGGTGGCAGTGTGCGGAGAAGACTTTAAAAGATCTGTTAAGTTCAAGTCTGCCATGACTTGAATCTAAACCTTAAGACTCCATTTTGAAATAGAGCATTTTAAATGAAGTTCTACTTTAACTTCAGAGGATTGTTAATTCTTATAATTTTGAAAATTTGAGTAAGCGTACTCACCCAAACGGAAGGCATGGAAGACAAAAGAAAATGTGCAAAAAGAGACTATCATGATCATTAAAAGGTAAGGAAGCAAAGAGTTTAAGCAGTTTGTAAATAAAAAATAAATTATTAAGATTCACAAGAAGGAATAGAAAATTGGAAATGTTATCTTTCAAGAAAAGGAAACATGGAACCATACAGATGACATGGGCTTAGAGAATTCTGGCAGGCAGAAAGTGATGCCAAAATAGTAAAACAAGTCATAAAGCATACTATACAATACTAATGAAAGAAATGTTTTAACTGAACATAATGTGGTTTTTTAATGCTGCTGAAACTTTGGCAGGCAGAAAAGGGAAATTATAAGGGATTTTTGGAAGGCAGCTTCCAGTGGTGGCGAAAGGAAAATATTCAAAATATTTAAGCACGATTTGAAAAACAACCCACAGCAGGTGACATTTAAAATACCACCTCCCCAAAATTAACCAGCCAGTGACTTGTAAAGGACTCCAAGTATTTCACGTGCAGAACCGACCCCACTGCGCGGGCCGCGCACCAAACTTTCTCTCGTGGCGGTCCGGCGGAACAAAGAGCCCATCTCACCCGGGTGAGGAGAGCAGCGCGACCCCGTCGCGAGACACTCTCAAGTAAAGCTCCCCTTCCCCAGCTTGAGCGCTCCACCCAGCCCCATCGACTCTTCTCCCAGGCCAGGTCGGCTACTGCAAGTCCAGCCCCGGTCCGCTCCAGTCAGTCCTCAGGTCCCGGCAGCCCTTTCCCAATCTCGCAGGCCACCGCCCCAACGCAGAGCTTCATTCATTGACCCAGCCTGAGCGACCCACGGGCGAAACGAGCCCGAGCGAGGGGTGAGCGGGGATCGAGGCGGGGACCCCGGGGACAGGCGCTTACTCTGGGTGTCCGTTAAGGAGATCATGGTTGCAGTGGTGAGGGCAGCGGAGGCAGCACCTCAGAATGCCCAGGGTGGAAAGCTGAGTAGGGAGAAAAGCCGGGGAGCAGCCCCGGAGAGCCGCCACGTCTTCCGGAAACACGCAGCCACCCACACCTCAACTTCAAGACAGCTTTCCATTGGCTAAACCTGCTCACAAAATCAACCAATAACCCGTGGTCTTGTTCCATGATGCGCATGCTGGCCACGCCCCTTGCTCAATTAGAGAAGGTTATTATTTGCGATTGGTTGAATGTGCCGACCCGGAAGGGTGGATTCTCCCGGCTGGGTGGCGGGAAGATTTTATTGCAGAGCAGGACCTACAGGTGGGTAGCGGTTTCCAGGCCCTGGCTATTTGGGCTTGGGGACCCGGGTGTAGCAGGCGGCTTCTCTCACCCTCATGGACAGAGGTTGTGGGGTAACTCTTGTTAAAGCTTTGAAGGGACAAGAGGACGCTCCTTTGATCATTTTCTTAAGAGGGCGAACCAATCCATCCAGGATCACTTCCTTCCATTCACACTTTAGCGGAGGAGAAATCAGTGCGTTAATCACTGCCCTGCTTTCCTTCAGCTCAGGCTTTTGAGTGGCAAGTTCGCTTATGGACCATTTTTGTTTTTGTTTTTTCTTAATCTCTCCAGACTTTCACTCAGGAAGCTTTGCTCCCCAAACCCCTTTACTAACAGCCATCATTTATTTTGAAATTACACTAAGGACGCTTCTTCTACCCTCTGCTTCACAGTGACATAAGAGAGGGAATTATCAGTACCTGATGGCTGCGAGTTGCAGGTGAAGTGTAGTGGAGGGATGTTTATCTGGTTTAGACTGTTGGACCTCAGCGGCATTTCCTTCAAATATTGATGACGGTTGTCACTGCGTAAAAACTTTCCTGTGGATGCCTAGTCGACTTCTGACTGGAAGACTTGCTGTATCTTATTAATTTTTGAATTCATTTTATGTTGAGATATTTTGCTATCAAATCACGTTATTTGGGGAAGGATCGGTCTTAATAGCATAATCAAAGGAGTCATTTAAAACAGTAGGGAAAAACTGGATATAGATCCTACCCTTTCAAAAGGGTAGATGTAGATAGTTTGCTAGGCGATGTGGATGTAAAGGTGAAGAGACTCAAACCCTGCTCAGCTAGAGGACCTTATAGTTTATGGGTGGAATGTCCTATTTCCAGGAGGAAGTGAAGAGATAGTTACGTAAATAATTAGAAGTCCTTGGCTATCACCATTTCTTAACTGTCTTTCAATGATGTGCCCATTCCATATTTTTAGCATGTAAACCCTTGCATGTCTTTCCAGCCTTTTGGTGGCTTCAGAATTCTACGTAGAAAGAATTGTTCTATATAGGAAATAGTCTTAGTAAGGCTAGGATGCTGCTGAAGCTATCTTTGCAGAGCACTAACATAGTTTTAGAAAATGTTAATTGTCATATGAGAGAGTTGGGGGAGGTTTTCATAGGATTATGGGGAATTTAAAATTCCTTCTCTCAAACTTTATTTTCCACTCGTTCATATATGTATGCTTAGATTTTAGTCATTAAAACAACACAAACCATGTTTTCTCCCCATCACTAACCTGTCCTATTTTCTCCTCCTGAAATCTAACCCAATAGAATAGAACACCAATTTCTCCTTTAATATTAATATTAAAATATAAATATAAATTAAATTATATTTTATATAATTTAATTTATATAATAGAATACCAATTTCTCCTTTAATATTAATATTAAAATATAAATATAAATTAAATTATATTAAATATAAATTAAATTATATTTCTTTGAAGCAAGTGCTCAATAAAGTGTTGAATGATTAATTTATTTTGACGTATTTTGCTTAATCTGGGACATTTGGATCTATCCAACTTGTTATTTATGATAGATTTTATCATTTCAATGTTGCATGCAGGGAAGAAGGCTTAGAGGAAGAAGGTGTGTAATTTTGGGAAGGTCACACAATTATTTAGTGGCAGAATTGTTTAATATTTTTACTTTTTTCTACATCACTTTTGTTGGAGTTTGATAAATGTTATTGACATTGTAATTATCCCATGTATGTTTATGTGACTTTGGATACCTCTCTAAAATCTAGAGGGTTTTCTAAAAACAACAGTTACAACAAAAACATTGTGGAAGAAACATGCAGTCCTCTTTGAAAGGTCAATAGTATTCCTTCCTTTTTTTTTTTTTTTTGTGGTAATGGGAGATCAAACCAGGGCTCCATGCATGCTAAACAGGCACTGTTTCAATGAGCCACATCCCTGGCCCAATTAGTACTGTTTGTTTAAAAAAAAATGGTTGTTGTGTTTGCTTTTCATTTTTAGAAAGAAATTTGGATTTCCAACTCGATTTTAGAATGGCATCTATTTCAGGTTAGTGAAAATGATTATAATTCACTTTGTTCTATATTGAATTGTAAGCTCCTTGATAAATGTTTGTTTTTAATATGTTTTAAAACTTCTAATTATAGAAATGATGGCTTTTTCAGCTTTCTAAAAAATCATGGTAAAAGATACACAATGTTTCCCATTTAATTATTACTAAGTGAACAGTTCATTGGCATTAAATACCTTCACAGGGTTGTGCAACCATCACAACCTTTTCATCATCCCACTGAAACTTTGTAACCATTAAAACTCATTAACTTGTTACTGTGTTTCCTTTCTATGAATTTGACTATTTTCAGAACTTCATGTGGTGAAGTCTTTTGTGCCTGGCTTATTTCATGTAGCGTAATGTCTTCAAAGTTCATCCATTTTGTAACATGCATCAGAATTTCATTCTTTTTTTTTTAAAGCTAATAATATTCCATGGTATGTATATGCTGCATTTTGTTTATCCACTCCTCTGTTGATGAGCATTTGGTTGTTGTTTTTTTGCCTTTTGACTATAATGAATAATGCTACTGTGAACATTGGTGCAGAAATGTCTAAGTTCCTCATTTTAATTCTTTTTTTTTTTTTTTAGGTATTTTAATAAATTTATTTAAACAGCCAATTTATTACATTTTACCAATTTGATATCTAGCTTTACATACACTAACAGACATAAACATTTTAGAAGATCAAATCTTTATCTTTGTAAATCATTTTAAGTCTAAAAGGGAAAAAAAAGAAATGTCCCAAAAGGGGAGAGTTACCAAGTTAAAATCCTTCAATGAACAGTAACTACGATGAGGTCATTCATCAGGAGATTGCAAAGATTTCAATGAATAAAACTCCATTTTCTTCCTAGGGCAATGTAATATATTGTAACTCACAGTCACCCAAAGGTCAAGAAGTAAAATAGCTATTTGCAGCCATAACATAATAACTGGTGATAATAATACTCACTGTTGCTTCAGTAATTCACTCTGAGAAGATTTTGCCTGACATTGAAATCAATTCCATGTGCATAATCTTGCCACCAGCCTTTAATACCATGTTATTCTCTTTTTCATTAGAAATGGATAAAAACTGTCAATAGCAATTAACCCTAACATACGAAAAATCTAAAATAAACATTCTACAAAGAAAGTAATTTAAAGAAAACAGTCATCCAAAGGACAAAATTATTTTCAATGTCTATTTATGCTCAATACAGCATTTCTAAAAGAAAACTATACCAGGCGAAGATAAAATATAACAGAAAGTTTAAAAAAGTGAACTTTTAAAGTGAACTGAATAAAAAAGAACACTAAAAGTGCATATTTTGCAAAACTAATATGAAAACTCTAGCTAAAACAAGATCATATGATCAATAAAATTTATTTTAATTGTGTATGTATGACATCAGAATGGATTTGGATTCCTTGCACAAAATTGCAGCACTTTTCATTTCTGATTGTACACAATGTACCATTGTACCATATGTGCAGTCATACATGTACCAAGGTAATAATGTCTATCTCATTTCACCATGTTTCCTGACACCATGCTCCCTGCCCTCCCTTCCCTCCTCTTTGCCCAATCAAACTTTCATTACTACTTCTGGGCTAGACAAAATTATATAATAATTAATAAACATCAGCCAATAATTATAAGGGCATGTGAATCATACTACACACCCTCATTTTTTT